CTTCTATTGCTTGAGTAACTTATCCAAGGACACAATTCTCAAGAGAGAAGGTTTTAAGCCTGCAAATAATCTTATGTTCAAGTTCATTTTAAGTGCAAACATAACAAAGAATACCATGATTTACACATAAATGTAATCTTTAAAAGAGTTAGAGTGAAAAAAAGGATGGTCCCCAGTGAGATGGATTTATACTTCAACAATGGGATCACGCACAGCAATGAATGTGAGGCTGGCACAGGACCAGGCCACAGTTCATTCTGTTGTTGTTGTGAATAAAGGCTGACGGAATACACAAAAATCATGGAAGAAGGAAGTTTTACCTACATTCAAACACCTAAAGTTATTAAGCAGCAACTTCCTTTTGCTTGGACTCCGTTTAGGGCAATCCTTCAGAATCCTGGCAGAACTTATGTCCTGCCAGTGCACCCATTTGAACAAGAAATTGATAGAGATGAGTGCTTGACCCTTGATCTTCTGTCATCCAAACTGCTCAGAGATCAGGGCTGAGAACTACTGTAGCCCTGGATAACAAAAGCAGTCAGAGGTCACCAAGACTTACCACTTACCTGAAAGATTGCTCTTCTTCGGATGAACACTTAGACCATTGTAGACAGAAGTGTTCTAGTGAGCCACTATGTACATTATACACCAGTGTATGTATGCTCTGATTAATAGTGGAATATTGTCCTTCCCTTTTCCATTCTGTAAAGTGCTAAGGCACCATGGCTGGCTGTCCTTGACCATTTTCCAGGTTCTTCAGTAAAGAAACTTAATATACTTATCCACAGTTCTTTGGACCATAAGCCCCATGCAGAGGGTTTCTTTCTCTGTGAGACTGTGTGAGAGGTTCCTTGTGTAGGTGTTAGATAATCAGACTCTAGATAGAAGTTGAAGCAGAAATAAGAAAATAAAATAACTTAAAGGAGAAAGTAATAGGAACTTGGAAAGATTTGATTGTAACAAATGGTAGGATCAAATGAATGCTTGCAGAACCATGGGCCTCATTATCAGTGGAGAATCTGCTTATGGGCCTCAGATGATTGCTTTACCCTGAGTTATTACCAACATTTTGACTTCCAACTTCAAGAGTTTTAAATCCAGTTCATTATCCATTCCAAAACGTCTTCTCCAACTATTTATTACAGTTACATTGTCCATCCTGAGATTTTATTTTTTAAGAATATGAAGTAGTAGTCCTCACACTTTACAATGATTTAAAATAAAATTGCTAACAGTGAAAATATTTGGAAGTTTTGCTTCTTCCTATTTGCATTGCTTGAATTTTGTCTGTTGTGTTTGTCACTAAGATGAGCATTTAATTTTCAAATGTCTGAGATTTCTTCATGTCAATTTTCTTCTAGTGGAGGGAAAAAAAGAGAGAATAATTTTTTTATTTTCTCTTTCTTATATTATTATGAATGCATTTTAAATTAGTAACTTTGGAAGAAAGATATATTTTTTCAACTTTAATTTGTTCCTAAATCTGACATACACATTCTAAAAAACTCATAAGCCAACAACTACTCTTAGACTAAACACCAAGTTTCGTCATAGCTCTCAAGATCTCCCATTCTTTGCAAAATCAACATTCCTAGCTTTCTCTTCTCTGCTTCCCTTCAGCCAGAAAATCTGAACTACTCACTTCACTTTGGCCCAGCTGCTGTCATCTCCAAGCCCTTACTCATGATGCCCTGTCTATCAAACATGTTCCTTCTCTCTCTTTTCCCTCTGTTTTCCCCACTGAGCTTTGGTGGGCTACTTGGTAATGAGTTGTACTGCTAATCCAAGGTCTGATAGTTTGAATCCACCAGCTGCTCCACAGAAGAAAGATGAACAATCTCTTCTCATGCAACTTACAGCCTCTGAAAATCCTCTAGAGGGTCTGCTATGAGTCAGTCCTTCCTGATAACAAATAAAACATTTTTCCCAGTAATGCTTTATTTTTCTCTGTATTTGCTTCATATTTTTTAATTTTCATAATCTCACTGCAATTGAATATATTTGGACTCTGAGTGACCCTTCTTTGTGCCTCAGAGGCTGTAAATCTTTATGGGAAGATGTTATCTACTTTTCTCCCTCAGACTATACTACATGAACTTTTTTTTCAACTTTCCAACCAAATTGCAAGTTCCTTAAAAGTGAAAATAGTAAAAATTTTCATTATTCTTACATTTCATATTTACAATTTACCTACTCACTAGCCTTTATTTGTGAGTCCAAAATCATTACATGCACACACACCTTCACAGTCATACACAGACATGCACAGAATAGTGAAAAAGTCTTGTACCCACCCTGTCTTCTTATTACAGATATCATAGTATAAACAGGTATCCTTTTTGTAGCAACACTTTTGTCACAGTTTTTTCTTTTTTGTTAATGATCACTTTGTTCCTCAAACATAGCTCCTCAAATATATGAGAACGGACCCATTGCTGACCCCCAGCATGTTCTCAGAGGCAATAAATCATACAGGAGGAGATTTCCCATCCTTTTCCTACAGAGTAGTTGATGGATTTGGACCTCGTGTCTTTGGGATTACAGCACAGCTCTTTACCAGTAGGCTACCAGATACCAGATATAGATAGATGATAGATAGATAGATAGATAGATAGATAGATAGATAGATAGAGCTAGCTAGATAGATAAAACACCTTTAGCTTTATTCAGGCATGAGTTATAGCATTCTTGGCTGTGAGCTAGATGTTAGTGAGTCAACAACATAATACATCTAGAAAACAGAAAAAGAAATCCATTAGTCTGCATATAAGGCCACTCTAAAAAGTGCTAAATTAGTTACTGTTCACTTATGGAAAAGTGGCTAAATTACGGGCTCATGAAATGATTAATAAAACAACAACAACAACAAAAAAAAAAAACACCAAACACAAAACAGAGTGGATAGCATTTCTTTGAGGCTGAAAGCCAAGAAAATTAGCATCACTTTTCCTAAGGGCTAGAAAACACTCAAGTTTTCTTGACTAGCATTTTAACTTAAAATGTTAGTTATAAAAAATACAGAAGGAACATAATACTAATAATTCACCAGATATGTGCACTGGGTGGCGGGGGTGGGGCGGTGAAATTGGGTACATCTAGGGTAATCTTCATCCCATTCTTTCCACAAACTTATAAACCCAGTGGTCTTTGGAGTTTCATAACTATGGTATTGTTAGTTGTTGTCAAATCCACTCCTAGCTCCTGGCTGCCCCAGGCACAGTGAAGAGAAATGCTGCCTGGTCCACAACTGTCCCATGATCAGTTGTGAATCAGACCATCGCAATCCTCAGATTGCTGACTTTTAGAAGTGGATGGCCAAGCCTTCCCTTCTGTTTTAGATTGCGATCTCTGCGAAATTTGTTTGCCATTATAACAAAATGCATGTCTCCACTGTCAGAGACATGGTATCTGTACAAGAGATGGATTGGCCAGTAACTGAAATCAGGTCTCCCACATGAATAGCAAGGACACTACAACTTAACTTCCATTGCCCCATTTTCATCACAATGTTGTTGTTGCTGTTGTTGTTGTTAAGTGCTGTCGAGTCAACTGCAATTCATAGTGGCCTTTAGAACAACAGAGCCAAACTTCACCATATCCTCTTGATTTCCACTACATTCTAGTCTATTGTTGTAGTCACTGTATCACTCCATCTTGTTGAAGGTTTTCCTCTCTTCCCAGGACCCTCTATTCTCTGTTCTTTGGACTGGTACCTCCTGATAACATCTCTAAACTATGTGAGACAGCTTCACCATCCTTGACTCCAAGGAGCACCATGACAACTCGTCCTCCAGGACAGATTTTTGTTTATCCTTCTGGCAGTCTGTGATATTCAATGCTGTTAGTTGGCTTCACAATGCAAAAGCTTAAATTCTTCTTCAGTCTTCCTTATTCACTGTCTTTCACGTACACATAATGTAACTGAAAATGTCTTGGCTTGAGCCAAGCACACCTTAGTCTGTAAACTGACATCCTTGCTCTTAAAGATGTCTCAATCTCCTTTAAGCAGATTTGCCCATTGCAACACTTCTTTTGATTTCTTGATGGCTGTTACCAGGAGTGTTGATTGTGGATCTAGGCAAAATTAAATTCTTGACAACTTCAATCTTTGCCTATAATAATATGGCCTTATTACCCTGGTGGTGAGGATATTTTGATTAGATGTAATCCATATGTAAGGTTGTAATCTTTTATCTTCTTTAATAAACATATTGAATCTTCTTCATTTTCTGCATCAAGCTCTATCATCTGCGTAACACAGGCTGTTGAGTCTTCTTCCAGTCCTGATACTACATTCTTCTTCAGATAGCACAAGTTCTTGAATTTTTTGTTCAGCATAACTATATAAACTGTATGCTGTATACCCAAGGAGCTGCTGGTAGATTTGAACTGCCGGAGAGGTGTGGCCTTTGGATGAGCAGAGCTATTCCCTATAGATAATACCAGCAGAGCTCCCTTTTTAAACTAGAAAAGAAGGTAAGTAAGATATGGAATGTAACCATGGATGGTAGACTACTCTTCAGTCCTACCTATGACCTGCTGCTACCAGGAAGACACTAGAGGTTTCCTGCTTGTGACAATTTTTAGACACAGTATGGTTATTTAGGGAGATCTTTGCAGTGTAATACTTAGGAAGCCAGAAGCTCAAATTGTGTCTCTGCCAGACACTGGCTATGTGATCTTGGGCCAGTGTTTTACTTAACTGCATGTTAATTTCCTCATCTGTCAATTGATCATACTCTCAAGGCTATTGTGAAGATTAAATAGACTAATGTTTATAATGCCTTTTACCATGTCAGGCTGAGAGTAAAGCCCTTAATAAATGTGGTTATTAACACTGAATTGCCTTCTTAAGAGTTATCACAAATATACAAAATAATTTTTTATTGCAAGCTTAAGGGTTATTGTTATTTGTTTTGAAAAATAATGCTGACTTTAGAATAGACATAGTAAGAAATATAGGACATGAGTTGTAATATTATCTGATTTTGCTTTTGTAGGAAGCATGGAAATTGACACTCCAGAAGGCAAAAGTCATCATTAAAGACTCCAAGACTCCGGTAAGCAATTGATAGGTGGAACAGCAGCCTTCTTCCTGAGAAGCTCACTGCTAACTGGCTGTGGTCTTATTATGGCCAAAGACCATGCCGGGTGGAAGTCCATAGCACACCTTAGTTGCATTCAAGCTGTAATAGTAACATGAGATCCTTCCCCTTTGTTTCTTCTATCTTCTTCTATATAGCAAGATTTCTCAGTCTCAGTTATATTAACTTTTTGAACTGGAAAAATCTTTGGAGTGAGGGTATTTCTGTATTATAGAATCTCTTGTCTCTCTTCTCAGATGCAGTAGTACTATCCATCTCAACCTCAGTTGTGACAACTGAAAATATCTCCTGATGGTGACAAATGACTCAAGGAGACAAAATCACCCCAATTGAGAATAACTGCTCCCAGATAGACCATTTCAGAAGAGGCTACATTCTTTTTTTCTTTTCTTTTTTTTAGAAGGGGCTACATTCTTATCTTCTGTTCCTCCACTACCTAGAAATGTGACCTTAAGCTCGATCTCTCCAAGACTCAGTTTTCTGTTCTATAAAAAGATGTCAATACTAGGAACCTTGCTCACTGTACTGATATGAGAAATCAGTAGAAATACTATGTGCAAAGCACCTGGTATCATGCCTGAAACTTTTTAAGTACTCAAAAAAGTTTCCTTACAACATCTCCATTTACTAGAAGGATGTGGAAGAGGATTGCAAGAAAGGTTGCTCACTTTCAAATATATAATCAAAGTCACTGAATTATACATATACAAATTGTTGAGTTGATGTGTTTTATTACGTGTATTTCCACAATGAAAAGAAAAGGGAAATCATCATATTCTTTTATCTTTTACCTGTCTGTAATGTAATGGGGGTTGGTGTGTTGGAATTAGTGAAACTGGCTCAGGATTGGACAGGGTTCAGAGCTGCTGTACATGGAGTCACGAGGGGTCACAGGTGATTTGACAGCACATAACAACAACAGTGATAATTATGTTTAATGGAGATAATGTTTATTTCAAATAAATTATCAGTATTTACTTGGGTCCTACTGTGAATCAGTCCTAGTTGAAAAGGCATCATAAAAGCAGGCCTTTAAAGAATAGCATCATCATCAATGTCTGCTAAAGATCCTGCTAGGAAGAAACATTAATCAGAACTGGGAGGGCACAAATCCTCTCCTTGCCTTCTCCATCCTACATCCCAGCACAATGCTTAGACGGTTTTATTGTTGTGAAAATAGTGAAGGGGAAACTCTTTCATTGCTAGAGCTATCCAATTTAGCAAACTAAAATATAAGATGCCAAGTTGGAATCTCAGATAAAGGGTGAATATTTTTTAGCATCTGAATATCAAATGCAACATTTTCTCTGGCAATCGTGTTAATGAGTGAGGAGCAAGGGGGTTTTGATCTACAAAGCAATACATATTGAATGACAAAATACAAGGCATTTCCAAATAATCAATTAATATATCACAATTCCTGCATTGCCAATGATTGCTTAATTCAGTGAATAATTAAAGGCCAAGAAGAACCAGTTCACCTAATCTGCTTAAGTCATTGAACAAAAAGTGAAAATGTCACTTGAAATCCCTGACTCCCACTTTCAGACATCTGAGCAGATATTAAAAAGAACACAATTTTTCTTTTATTCTCCTCAATATGAGTCTAAGAATATATTCTCAGCCATTGTTTACTTCACTAGCACTAACTGCCTTGGCATTAACTCAAAGGCTAATTAGGATCTTACAATTCTTCATTTCTGTCACTGGTTTTGAAAGCCTAATTCATGAGGCAAGATCCCAATTATTCCTTGAGAAAAGTAAAAAAAAAAAAAAAAGAAGAAGAAAACATAGAGAGAAACTTACTAAATAATTCAACAATAAAAAAAAAAACACGCAAAACTCTTCCCAAATTTATTTACTTTGAAGATGAAAGCTATCAAGTAAAAAAATAACCAGAAAATGCAATTAAGCTCTTCAGAAAAAATGCTGAGAGAATACTGGCTGTAATTAACTCCATTGTGCTAGCTGAGGGAACTTCAGACCCAGCCAGAACTCAAAAAGAAACATCTTTTTTCCAAATGCCATCAAATTGACTCACTAATTGTGACTTTGTATGTCTTCAATAGAACTATATACACCACAGATTTTTTAATAACTGGGGTTTTTACAGAAGTAGATTGTCACATTTTCTTCCATTGTCTCTCTAGGTGAACTGAAATCACTACACTGACTGTTAACATCACCCAAATTCTCAGAAATACATACTATGCTGTATGTAATTTCAATATAGTCCATCAGATTTAGAGATTACAGACTGGTGAAAGTTTGCACATTTAAAAGAAGATTCAAAAGGATCAGATACAACATGAGGAGGGCCAATTTTAACTTCTACCTGCTTCATAAAGAGGAACTTTCTCCATCAATAACATCCATTATACCAAAATAGCTACAAGGTCAGATATGCCGCATCTCATACTCCTGTACCTATTTTTTCACCAGTCGTTGTGTCTGATATTATAAGTTGCAAGACTTACAGACTTTAGTCACAGTTGTGGAGAAATGGGTTAGAGAGTTTACAAGTAAAGAATATCACATAATTCAAGTCCGGGTTTATTCTAGCAATTCCAAGCCATATTAACAAGGTATAATTCCTCAATTATTGAAAGTCCAAATTCGGTTCATCAGCACAAGTACGAGAAGCCTCTCTGGTTTCCTCAGTCATCCAGCAAATTTTATCCCAGAGAAGTTATAAAACAGCTTTTCTTTCAATCAACCAACAACAAAACCTTTAATTGTAAATAAAATTTAAAAAAAAAACCCAACCAAACACCTTTAACTGTGGTTCCATCTACATGGTTCCTCACCACAGTCTCTCCCCAGTCTCTTTAGGGTCTTTCTACCTCCATCGTCACCTTCTCTCACAGTGACTCTCTTATATTGGTCCCACAGTTGTTGATGATTTGCAAGACAATATGTTAGAATTGGTGGACGATCTATCAACAATCTGCGTTATGCAGATACACAACTTTGCTCGCTGAAACTGAGGAGGACCTCATGCACTTACTGCAGAGGGTCAAGGACTGCAGCCTTCAGTATGGACTGAGGCTTAATGTCAAGAAGACAAAAATTCTCACCACCGGACCAATCGGTAGCATCAGGATGGATGGCAAAGAGATTGAGAGTGTTCACAGATTCAGTTTGCTCGGCTCCACGGTCAACACTCTTGGCACCAGTAGCCAGAAAATCAAAAAACTTATTGCGATGGGAAAGTCTGCTGTTAGGGACCTCTCTAAAGTACTCAAGAGAAATGGTGTCTCTCTGGAGACTAAGGTGCGCCTGATACAGGCCATGGTTTTTGCAATCACTTGTTATGCATCAGAGAGTTGGACAAAGACTAAGGAGGATAGAAGGAGAATGAATGCCTTTGAGCTGTGGTGCTGGAGAAGAGTATTGAATGTACCACGGACTGCCAAGAAAACAAACAGATTCATCCTAGAGAGGGTTAAACCAGGCTGCTCCTTGGAGGCAAGGATTCTGGGGCTTCACCTGACATACTTTGGACATGTTGTAAGGAGAGACAGGTCTTTAGAGAGGTACATCACGCTGGGTAGAGTAGAGGGACAGCGCAGGAGGGGAAGACCCTCTATGAGGTGGATTGATTCAGTGACTGGGGTAATCAGGATGGGTGTGTCAGAGGAAATGAGATTGGCACGGGATAGAGCACGGTTTAGGGCTGTTGTACATAGGGTCGCTATGAGTCGCAAACGACTCGATGGCACATAACAACAACAAACAACATGTTTGAAGTTAAGATAGATGGAGACTATGCCCCTCTCCCCAAAGAGGTTTAGTGCATTGGCTAGAAAAGTCAATTTTCAAGGGTTCTAACACCCTAGAAACAAATGTTTACAATGTTAGGATAGGTCTAACAGCGCATTTAGCATCTGAAGAATTAGATTTCCTGAATTATTTAATAATCTTTTTTAATTTTCACTTTAAAAAATCTACAAATGATACACTATTTTGTTATTAACTCCACACTAGAGAAGAGAGGACTGAGGTTAAGTAATTGGCCCATTCTCACAGCTAATTAGTGAGAAACTTGTTATTTCAAACCAGACATAGCTACTTCTAAGTTTCATACTTTTCCCACTATTAATAGTTCACAACCAGGTCTTTCTGATCCTAAATTTCAGGAAGCATCATTCACATCAGAGACGGATACTGGAGCCATGCAGTACACAATCTGTATACCTATATATGACTTGATCTCAAACTTGCCTGCCCAATAGAATCATCTAGAATCTGAAAAGAACCCTGGTAGCTTAATACATTATGTATTGGACTGCTACTCAGAGGTCAGCTGTCCAAATCCACCAGCAACTTCATGGAAAAAATAAGTGCAGTTACTCTCATAAAGATTTGCAGCCTCAGATAGCTTATGGAAGGCCACCACAGGCACCATATCAATAACAGTGGTGGTGGTGCTGGTGGTGCTGGTGGTGTGGGGGCAATCTTTAAAAAATGATTGATGTGTCCTGGTCACTGAGCCACCGCCAAGGACTCAGCTGCCTTCCCCTAGTGCCCCCTCGCTTCCCGATGCTCTGACCCCACACATACACACCAGCCATCTCCCTCTGTTGCCTTCCGCTGGCTATTTTCACAGAAGAAAAGGAATCGTATCATATATCCACTATCCAGAACCTTCACTCTTTTGACTCCTTTGCTGATGCAAGTAAGGGTGATGACCTGCTTCCTGCTGGGACTGACAATTATATCCACACAAGAATTCAACAGGCAGGAGGACCTTCTCAACTGTCCAAGGGATCACTGATGATCACGACAAAAAGAAGCTAGTGAAGGCGTTTAAAGAAATTTGCCTACAATGGTACTGCAATTGAGCATCCAGAATATAGAGAAGTAATTCCGCTACAGGGTTACCAGCACGAGGACATCTGCCAGTTCCTTGTAGAGGTTGGACTGTCTAAGGACGACCAGCTGAAAGATCACAGGTTTTAAGTGCTTGTGGCTCACTGAAGCTTAAGTGAGGATTTTGTTGCAATGTGTAGACAGTTTCCCTCTGTCCCTTGTCACAAGTTTAAAACTTCACAGCTTGTATTACGCAACCATTTGGGGTCCACTCTTTTGAACTTGGACTAGAGTCTTCTTCATGCAATTAACTGAAAAGAAACATGTTTTAAAAAAAATATTGATGTTCAGGCTCCACCTCAGATCAATTAAATCCAGGTAATATTAACATAGCATTCCTGAGTGATACAAAATATTTACCACACCAGCTGCTAATAGAGATTGGAGATTTAGATCTACACTGAGGCATTTTGGAAGAAAGGCCTTACAATCTATTTCTTTCAATATGTCAGCCGTTGAAAAATCTAGGGAGCATAGCTTTGCTCTGAAATACTTGGGTCAGCTTGACAGCAAGGGTTCTGATTGGTTTTAGTACTAATACACAGTTAATCTTAAAGAGACCTTCACCACACAGAAATTCACCTTCAGGATACCTGTGGACAGAACTGTTGAGACCCGACACCAATAACCTTGTATTTGTCCCACTCATCCTATTTTTCTTTATTCAAATGCTGGTTTGGGCTCTGTATTCATTTAACCAGTGGCAATTCAGAGGCGGAAAATTGTTGCAGACTGAGGGTAAAGTATTTTTATAGTTATTAATAATGAGACAAATAGACAGGAATGAGAACAGAGAGCATGAAAAACAGGCCAGCAGTTCTCGACTGAAGACCCCATTCCAGCTTCCCTGTATCTTTATTGAAAATTATCAGAAAGTAAATCACAAAGAGAATTCAATACAAAGGAAGCTAAGCTCTTTCTATTGAAAACCTTCCCCTAGAATCAGGAGGGAGGGGTCAGCAAATGCTTCAAGAATCTGGTAAAATCTTAAGGATTGCCTTAGTACCTCAGGGTAAACTCTAGCTTGTACCTCACCTCCCACACATCTTGAGATAGCATTCAGTTTATTACGAATTTCGTATTGGCTTCCCACATTTCCCTCCTTTTGTTTTTATCACAATTATGTTCTCATCTAGAAAAGTACTGCTGCTCCTCTTCTGTGATTCATTCTTGCTTGTTTTTTGCACAAACAAATAAAATAAATTAAAAATAATAAACTTAAAGAAATACTTTCAAAAATCTCCATATGATCAGAAGGATTCAGGTTGAATATTCCTGGCTGGCTGTCTCATTATTAATAATTCTAAAAATACTTTACCCTCAGTCTGCAACAGCAAATAGCAAACCGAAGATGCCACCTGACTTCTGTCCCTGGAGACAGTCAGTTGGAAACTTGCATGTGAGATAGATTAGATGCCGCCATGTGCAATATTTTAAATCTGTTTCTGAGTTCACAATAGTCCCCAATTTGGCTCTACCAAGCAAAGCGCATATGGAAGGGAAGGTGTTGGCAGTACATGAGGAAGGACTTCCCCAATATTGCTGTGTTCTTCTCAGTCCTCTTTTGCAAGCAAATTGTTGAGAAGAGGATAGTCTTTCCTTTAAAGCACCCATTGAAACAAGAGGAGCTTAGGAAGCAGGAGGAATTCTCTGAACAAGCAACGGCATCCATTGCCCATCTCCTTGCTCACTTTCTGCACAATGACTCTCAAGGACAGATGCATCCTGCAGGCTGGATTTTGACAGCAAGCAGCTGTGCAATTAGAAAATTGTATTCTGTTGCACATCTTATGTAGTAATTATAAGGCTAGCCATATAAATTTTAATGTATTTGTTATCATCAATGTTAAAACCAGCTTTGCCATTAAGCAAAGAATTTCAGAGTAAAAAAAAAATTTTTTAAAGTATCTTAAACATTCAAATGCAGCCTGACTTTTAACTCTATGTTAGAATGTGTCTATACTCCCAAGCCACTCCCAATTTTGAAGTACAATGCAACGCCACTGTTTTCCAGTGTGCTTGGGACTTGATATCAGTCACTCACAAAGTCTTTAGGATCAACTTTCTAAATATCCTTCCTTTCCACCTCTCATCAACTCATTGCCTTCAACTTAGAGCGAACTCATAGCTGACTCCCCAGTAGGTTTCAGAGCCTATAAATCACAGAGGAAGAAACTACTCCTCTTTCTCCCAAGGAGCCCCTGGTGGACTCGAACCACCAGAGAGATACAGCATAGTTAGTCACAAAACCCCCTTCAGACTATACCACCAGAGTTCACTCCCTTTCCATTAAGCATTTCTGTTTACCACAGTGATTCTCAGTCACTGTCAGTTTAGTCCCTCAGGGGACATTGGGCCACATCTGGAGACATCTGGTGGCTGCTGACTTCTAGTTAGTATAGACCAGGAATGACACATAGCATCCTACATTATATATATGGGGGGGGGCAGAACCAAGCTTAGCATTCAGTCACCTACCTTCACAAAACAAAGGGGAAATGAAATACGGGAGATCTATATAAGCAAAGGAAAAGAGACTCATTTATCTCAGCTTTTAAACAAAATGTTGCTGTCATGGCAACCACTTGTGTGCAGAATAGAGCTGTGCTCTGCAGGGCCTTCTGGACTGTGACATTTCAGAGGCAGTTCACCAGGTATTTCTTCCTAGGTGTCTCTGGATGAGGTCAACCCACCAACCAAACAGATAGGAAAGAACCATAAAAAAAAGATTTGTCCAGTCCCAAAAGTCCATGGTACTGAGGTTAGAAACCTTGGAATTGGTCTTGGGGTCTCTGTCTACTAAGGGATATCTTTCTGAAATACAAATGTGATTCCTGTGCGAGGTACCTTCCTACCATCCACAGATAGAGCAGCATTCCAGCCTTGTTGTAATGACTTCTTCTGGCCATGGTTCACTGGGTCCCCAGGGTCCCCAAGCTCCAGCCAGGCTGAATTGTTTGAAGGTTTCTTAAGACCTTTCTCTGTCTTTCTGCTAAAATGCAGATGCTGATTCCACAGTTCTGTGGTGGGGCCGAAGATTCTTCATTTCTAACAAGCTCTCAGGTAGCATTACGTTCTTGATCTATAGGCTGCACTGTGAGACTAGCACTTGCAACAGCAGTTCGTAAAGAGGGGAGAGAGTTGGGGAGAAATGTCAACGTTGTTAATCCAGTAGATCTGGATAAGGATCAAGAACTTACATTCCTCATAGTATTGAATACCCCATGGACTGTCAAAAGCGCCAGGCTGCTCCTTAGAGGCAAGAATGGGGGAAACACTGCTTCACATACATTTTGCATGTTGTCAAGAGGGCCCAGTCTTTAGAAGAATATTCACACTGAGAAAGGTAAAGGGTTGTCCATCAACTAGATGGTTTGACAGTGACTATAGCAATGTGCTTGAGCATGCCAGAGACTGTGAGAATGGCTCTGGATAGTGCAAGGTTCTGACCTGTTGTTCATAGGGCCCCTATGAGTTGGAGTGAACTCTGTTGTACCAACAACATGGAAGCATCTTTTTTCCCCCTCTTGGCTCGCTCCTACTTGACTTCTAGGTCATAACCCAGATCCTCCTCTGGATTTGCAGAAAGGCTTGCAAATCCCTGGACCACCATAGACATCACTGGCTTGTTCAGAACTGATATGTCCACCAAGATCCCCCACTAGACTTAAGCTGTGTGAGGGCCTATCTGTCTCTGTGCCTTACAGTGTTGATGGAGGAGATCTTCTAGATTCTTACTCCAGTCCAACAAAGTGCAATAAACATCAGTCACCAAGATGCTTAATGATTTCATTTATATTCTGGAAAGTTTTCTGAGTCTCCTTTGCCAGGGTCAAGATGCTGCCAACATCTATAATTTACCTCATGGTGACTCTTGGCTGGTGGATGTTGACTTTATTTTCCCCTTCAGTTATATAGATACTAGCACTCAACTTTTCCTACCCTACCAGAGGATTTTTCCCCCTTTCATTTGAAGTAGGCATCATGGAATCCACAATCTTCCTAAAAGCACTATTAAGAAGAAAGCCAATTTCCCCTCAAACATCTAGAGTTATGGGAAAACCACTGCCTGAAATCTCTTTGCTCCTAATGCTGGAGGGTATGCTGGCACATGTCATCTGCTTCCCTGGGGAAGGAGCCACTCTTCTTCCTGGGTATGCCTCTTCCTTTAAGTCTTTAATTTACCCTTAACAGAAGGGAATTGTTTGACTTGAAAACATTATTCACCTCCAAACCCCCCTTTTTTATTTTTCAAAGCTGCTGGGTAACAAGGAGAAGAGTAGAATTTTTGTCAGAGTAGAACAAACCAGGGTGAATTGGAACTATTTGAGAAGAGAGAAACCCAAGTTAGAACAGCTACCTGGGTGAAGAGAAATGGCTATGTGGAAACCAACAAGAATAGAGACAGGTGGGGCAAATTATAGAATACAGGGGAAGGAACTAGGGGTAAATTCAAACAAAAAATATGGAACCAGATTCTGGCAGATTAAAGTCCAGAAAATTCAAGCCAACTGAAGTAGGTGCCAACAGAAGGGAAAGGGCCTCTAGGAACTGGGGAACAATTTCTTGAAATAAACAATAATTTTGTTTTCTCTCTCTTTCTAGAAATATGCTAGAAGTGATTCTGGCATTTGTTCGCTTCCATTTTTGGCCAAGATCTGTCATGAAATTAAATCGTATGTATGCTATTTCTACTTACCTGAGAGATGCTTGGGATATTATTGATGATTACTATTTTCTAACAACTAAAATGATCTTCCAACTTAAAAGCCATATTTCTGAAGGTGAAATTTTTCTTGTTTAAAACATAACTTGTGCAGAAACCAGAAGAGAAATTACCTCAGAGCAAATAACTGGAAATATATTGAAGATCACTATCTTTATATCTCCCAAGGTGGAATGCAGTGACTGTGGGAATGGACTCCAATGTCAGTTATGGGATGGCATAGGATAGGACCAGCTTCAGATCTGCTGTTCACAGGGTCTCTGTGAGTCATACTCCACTTGACATCACATAACAACAACAACAACAAGGTGGAATGCAGAATACCATGAAATGTCCTTAGCAGTCTCCAAACACTCTTTTGAAAAGAACTTTTAGCAGCCCTTCCTTTAATATAAGACATAAACAAGGTGAGAACCTGCCCATGGTAGGGACTTTCAGAGCATCTTTGTTGCAAGACCTCCGTGAGACTGGAAAGAGACTATTTGTTTTCAAAACCCAATCTATTACATGACATATCTGGTCAGATATATATGAGTAAAGTTTCCAATACAGAGACACTGCACAAAATTCCCAAGTCCTTTTCCCACTTCAGCTATACCTTGAGTCTTTTTCTCTGTGCCATCAAGTCAACTCCAACTCTTAACAACCTAAGAACAACAGATCTGATCCTTACCTGATCCTGCACCATCTTTACAATCCCCACTGTGCCCAAGCCCATTGTTTCAGTCACTGTGTCAGTTCATCTTGTTGAGAATCTTCCTGTGTTTCTAGGACCTTCCACTTTTCCAAGCATGCCCAAAGTATGTGAGATAAAGTTTCACCACCCTTGTCTCCAAGGAGCAATCTAGCAGCACTTCTTCTAACACAAATTTGTTATTTTGGTAGTCCACGAGATATTCAGTATTCCTCCAACACTGCAATCTGGCATTCTACTAAATGTGACAGAAATTATTGTACAAACTTTTAATGCAAAGAGAAGCATTCTTTGAGAGAGATAATGGACTATATAAAGCAAATTAGCTTACCCCTGGCCAAATTAGTTTCTTAGTGGTAAGAAGGGGAGCTACCATACTGAAGACTTATGGTTCAAATCCACCAGCTGCTCTGCGATAGAAGGACTCTCCTCCCATGCCATTAACTGCCTCTCAACCCATTGGAGGGTCAGCTATGAATCAGTTCTGACTTGATGGCACACAACAACTACAGAGTGGGGTAGGGGAAGCAGGTGGGACAAACTACCCCAATCTTCACTTTATCAGCCATTTCGCCTGGCATTTAGCATTTATGACAACAATGAAAAATCTACTGGCCCATTACTTATGACATAAACAAGGCTCTAGTCATGGTAGCGAAGGAGGCAGAACACCCTTTCCTTGAGAAGGTAGCCAGGGATATTTGGCATGCTGTGCTGTCTGCCCTCACCCTGTGTACCCTCCTGTGGGCAGGGGCACCAGGTCCAGATGTCTGTGTTGCCATTGGCTTCTCCATGGCCTTGGCCACTGACAGATAGACAGGCATCACACAGAAAGCAGGATTCCCAGCTCCTGAGACAGAGTGGTGCTCAAAATTGCTGTGGGTGAGAAGGGAGGAAAGAAAGAAGCCTTGGAGGAGTTACTGGGAATCAAGTCTCATGACATCCCAAGGTGGGCTAATACAGCCCTCAAGTCTCCATCTCAGTGGGGCTGGGAACTCAATCAAGTTGCAGGTACCTTACCAGGAACTTCAGTCATTCACCAGGCCCTGAAAGCAGAGCAGTGGCCAGAATTATGAACAGGATGCTTGCAGGGCTACAGCGGAGCCTGGAGGCAGCTCAGAGGGGGAAACTGACCCAGCACAGGAAGAAGGTTAAACCTCGGGCCCTTCAGTCACAAAGGCCAGCTTTATCTGTGTCTCCAGTAAGACTTCTCTGCAAGGAAATTATCCATGATTCCAGCTGTCACAGCAAAGAGCACATCAGTCTATATGAGCTGTTATTATTTCTGTGATTCTATTTTCTAAATAGGGAATTTAAAAGGACCACTGTATGGTCTGAAAACAGAAAAAAAATATCCTTGATTGTCACATAACACCAATATTTTTAAATAAAACTTTTATTTTGTATTGCTTTAATTATGAAGTTCATATACATTGTTTTCTCACATCAGATCTTTCCAATTTCCTTTACCCATCCCTCCCTCCACCCATCAAGTTGTGTGACCCTATGATTCATTACCAACCCAAAAACCCTTCCCTCCCACCTCGCCACTTGGATCCTGCCACCCCCATCCTCAACCCTCTGCTCCCACCCTCCTCCACCTTGGATCCTCACACTCATTCTACAATAATGGTCTTTTTCCATATTTGCCCTTATGGGACTGAGTTCACTCAGTATAATGCTCACTATTCACTCCCAAGTAAGGCAGTAATTTACAAAATTTTTGCTCTTAAGTCTTACGTAGTATTCCATCATGTTACTGTACCATAAATTCATTACTGTACCAATCCATTCATTTGTGGTTGGACATTAGGGCTGTTCCCATGTTCTTGTGATAGTGAATAACGCTGATCTGAACATTGGTGTATAGTTTCCATTTGTGCCCCAGTTCTCATTTTCTCAGGTTATATTCCAAGCTGTGGAATAGCTGGGTCGTATGGAATTTCTATGTTCAGCTTTTTGAGAAAATGCCAAACTGTCTTCCAGAGTGGTTGTACATTTTATAATCCCACCAACAATGTATAAGAGTTCCTATCTCACCATATCCTCTCCAACATTTATTACTTGCTGTACTGTTAAACTTTACCACGTATGTCACTGGGGTAGGTTTTTATTTTTTTTTAATAAAATTTTATTTTAATTGTTATTTTAATGAATATTTACAAAGAAGTAAGATTTTCATTCATTCATTGTTGCACATTTTATCCTCCCCTTACTTCTCCTTCCCCAGTTTACTTTTATAATTGAGATTTTTATGAAAGTTTGGAGAGAACTTGAATTTTCATTCATTCATTGTTGCACATTTTCTTCCTTGTCCACCCCCCTCAGTTCACTTTTCACTTTGAAAAAAAAAAATCTTTCATTGTTGTACAATTCCCCCCTCCCCAGTCCACTTTGCTATGCACCAATTATTCTGGATTACTGTCACACATACCTAATCATATACTCCTTTTAAGCAGTTTTTTCCCTCATCTCTTTCAATGCATTGTACATTATTTATTCTCTCTTTTTTTTTTTCATTTTCTCCCAACCCCCATGTCAGTCCTGTTTTATAATAGTGGCATTATGTAGTATTTGTTCTTTTGTGACTGAGATATTTCTCAGCATACTGTCCTCCAGGTCATTCATTTTGTTTAATATTTCATTTATTCATTATTTTTTCAGTGCTGCATAATAATCCATTGTGTGAATATACCACAGTTTCTCTATCCATTCATTTGCTGATGGGCACTTGGGTTGTTTCCAACTCTTTGCTATTGTGGAATATATATATATATTTCTGTTTTAGTGTGAGTTCTGATTTCTTTAGGGTATATTCCCAATAGTGGAATATTTGGGTTAACTGCTATTTCTATTTCCAATGTTTTGAGAAAGCACCATACTGCCTTAAAATGGTTGCACTATTTTACACTCCCACCAACAGTGAATAAGGGTTCCTGTTACTCCAAAACCTCACTAGCACTTGTTGTTTACTGCTTTGATGAATTTTGTTACTCTTATTGGGGTGAGATATCTCATGTTGTTTTTTCACTGAGGTTTTTATTTGGATCTCTTATTGCCAGTGATTTTGAGCATTTCTTCATGTGTCTATTGGCCATCCGAAAATTGTCCACTGTGAAAAGTCTTTCCATGCCTTTTGTTTATTTTGTAATTCTATTATCAGTCTTTTTCTTGCAGAGGCCCTCTAGGATTCTGTAAATTTCTGATGAGACCCTTGCCTGAAATGGTATTGCCAAGTGTTTTTTCCTAGTCAGTAGGTTTTCTTTTGGAAAATTTGCAAAATATTTTTGATGGGCACAGGGATTTAATCTTTAGAAGGTCCCATTCATCAGTTTTGTCCTCTCTCGACTGAGCATTTCTGGCTGTATCTGGCAGTCTCTTTTTAACATAGACTAGGCCATCTAAACTTGATCCCAGTTTGTCTCTGATGAACTTTTTAGTTTTGGGCTTTACTTCCATGTCTTTGAGCCACCTTAAGTTGATTTGATGTACGGTGTGACATGAGAATCCTGTTTCAGCTTTCTGCAGTTAGCTGTCTAGTTGTGCTGGCAACATTCATTGAAGAGGTTGTCATTTCCCCATTTGATAGGTTTTATTTCCTTGTCGAATATCAGTTGACCATAGATAGCTGGGTCCCTTTCTGGGTTCTCAATTCTGTTTCCATTGGTCTATGTGTCTGTCATTGTACCAGTACCATGCTGTTTTGATTACTACTGCTGTGTAGTAGATTTTGAGGTCAGGGAGTGCTATGTCTCCCACTTCATTTTTGTTTTTTCAGAAGTGGTTTGCTTATTTGGGGTCTCTTTTCTTTCCAAACAAACTTGGCAGTTTTCCTTTTTATCTCCTTGAAAAATGAATTTGGTATCTGTATTGGGATTATGTTGAACATGAAGATTGCTTTTGGTAGGATTGTCATTTTCCTAATATTGAGTCTTCCTATTCATAAACAGGGCACATTTTTCATTTCTTTATGTCTTTTACTGTGTCTTTTGGAAATGTTCTGTAGTTTTCTTTGTATAGGTCTTTTGTGTCTAGTTAGGTTCACTCCCAAGTTGTAAATGGTATTGCTTTCTTGGTTTCCTTCTCTGAATTCTCTTTGCTGCTATGAAGGAATCCCACTGATTTTGTTTATTGATCTTACATCCTAACACTCTACTAAGTTGGTCTGCTAGATCTAACAGGTTTTTGGTGAGTCCCTGGGCTTTTCTGTGTACACTATTATATCATCTACATATAGCGACAATTTAACCATTTCT